TAAACATGATCTGTACCGTTCACGGGAGTGCCCTTACTTTGGCGGGGGATTGGTCTGACCTGAAAACTTCCACATGTCCGGTGACTGCAAAGAAGGGGTGTCCACGGATCCATTCTCTACCCTCTACTGATGAAACATGAATGTAAATTTCCTAATAAAGTGATTGAATTGACTATTAAATATGAAGCTATCTGCCATTTTAAAGTTCTGTAGCCCAAGAAGTCCGTTCAAACGGCAGCAATCTCTATTTTTTTCCTAATGAGTGTTTTATTTCGAGAATAAACGCAGTTCCTAGGAAAACTACGATTCCCGATTTACTAGGACTCAAAATGACCTAGACATTTGTTTACATGGTCTAAAGCTCTTAACGGATAGCGACATAAACAAGCAACGTTTAAAAGGTCAATTAGGCGTTGAGGGCAATGGACAACGTTGATCTGACTCTCTATGACGGACTGATCGAAGAAGAACTTGAAAATGTAATTAAAAAATAAAACATGTCATTCTCATGTTCCTTGATTTCCTTATTGTTATTTGTACTTAATTTGACAATTCTCACAATTAAAATGATAAACGTAGAAAGCGTGTTTTCAAAGCTGATTTATTCATTTTAAATGCAGGCATGGCGTTTGCTTAACATAATTTGCGGTTAAGATAACATAAATTACTTTGGTCTACTTAGCCGATCCGAATATTCCGAGAATTTTATATGACATGGTAATTAGTGGGACAGCACTCTAATTAAGTAATGTGAACGAAAATTATAATTTTTGTTCAAGTAAACAAGAAGACTACAAAGCGGTATTCTGTAAATATGTATTGTTAATTTTGAAGAACAATTTTTGATCGACACAATTTTGGAAATGTTTTAAATCACCATCATTGCATAGTGCGGATATTCGTAAAATGCCACAAAAGGCACTCATCAAATAGGGACTCTGGTTCTATTATGGCGGGGGACCTTCCTGTTTTTGTGGCCTTTATCTTCTTGGTTTTCGATTTACGTTTGCGCCCTTCAGATAATTGAAGAGACCAAAGATTAACAATATGAACTGTTGGACATGTCCAGTAGTGCCATAATGACACAGTATAAAGCAGACGATTCTATTTTTAAAATATAGTACCTTAATTAGGATCAAGAAATAACAATAATATTTATGCTTCATAGTTCCTAGATGATTTGAATTGTGACGAAATAAAGAATTCGTACAAAAACAAGATTTATGACATAATCGTGCGATGTTTGCATAAGGCTTTCAGCGGAGACTGAATACATGATTAAGTGGATTTCTTGACCGAAACAGGAGCAAATCTGAAAACTTACCCCATGTATGCAAAAGTAAGCTTTCAAAATGCATAAACGTGAAATCACAAAATGTGCACGTAAACTGGAAGATCTCGAAGAGGCCGTCAGAGCAACCGACTTTTTAGATATTTGGTTACTAAAATTCGGCCAACTGGATGATTGTAGCTCGTAGTTAAATACTAGCGGAAATTGCAAATCTTTTTATGGATTTAAAACGATATTTGAATTTTTCATTCACAAAGAGAACCTTTTTTAACCTTGAAATATTGCCTTGTAACTGCCACATATTCATAGTAGTCCTAAAATTCATCGTGCAAAGAGGATACCGAATTTAGTTAAGTTGGAACTGTTTATAATTTTCCTATCACAGTGTACGGGTATCTACAATCTCGTTTTATTTTTCAAATATAATTCAATAGCACTTTAAGGGCATATGTTGGAAGAGAACTCTTTATATCATACTACTAAAATAGAGTATATATTCTTAATAACCTTGCAACATGCTCTGCCTTAAGGCATAAGCCTTACTTGTAAAAGTCAAAATACAAGTATATTATTGCTAATAAAGTGTGGAATCTGCTACTGCAAATAAACATACCAGAAGGCTCAATATTTATTTCGTTCGGAAACCGTCATAATACGAAATAACCGTTTTTTGTACTTGGTAAATTCCTTGGTTAAGTTTCGCATATATCTAACTAGCAGTTTTTAAACCAAAAATGCAGATTTTGACTTCATTAGATTATTGCCATCTTTTAACTCCGTTTACAAATCGGGATATAACTTGCAACTTTAAATTTGCCGACCTAAAAAGGTCTCAAGTAGTAGCCGCAAGATAGCTAGTATTAACTAGCATTTAAAATGTCTTCAACTAGAACGGAGTAATTCAGTTAGACTGCGGTTACTAATGGACAGTAGGTATATGTTTAGTTGACAAGTTTTATAGTCCGTTATGCCCGTCACATTTTTAAGAACGTTGACTAGGAAATGTTCATATTTGCCTCAAAGTTTAACTACTTATTTCAATTCATCCACATATTCAAAAGGAGAAAAGAATCATTAATTATCATATTTTTACTGTTTTTAGCTGCACTTTCTTTTATTTTGGTCCCAGATACATGATGCATTTTAGCTCAAAACGTTTTTCACAGTAGCATAAATATTAGTGTAATGCCCGCGCCTTCTTAACATTTATATTTTCGAACTCCCAACCTTAATACCATTCTCTTTTATTTCTGCGTTTTAAGAATAGTGGATTTACAAGAGTGACCATGTACCCATTTGTATTTACTCTTCCGCAAAATCAGTTAAATTTTGAAATAAGGGGACGGCGCTTCCAAACATACAATTTTGGAATAATTAGGCGACTCTGCCGATAGTTTTGACTTTGTTTACAATTAAATTACTGGTGCATCTCTTACTTGATTTGGTTTATGGATACCTATGTTCCTGTGGGCAATGACAGAAAGATTATACGCCTACGTTCCATTCGAGACCTGATAAACAATTTAAGTGTCAATTGTTTTCCATCAACATGATGGATGGGCTGCAGTCACCTCCATAATAATGTTTTGTATTGAATTGTAGTTAAGTATGATGTTATCGCAGAGATTAGCTTTCTCGTAAATGTAGCCCTGATGCCTAAATTTGTTTTACCGATTACCGATTGCGTCATGCTCTCCGCAACGAAGAAATTTAAGGATGACTATGGTCCCATTACTTCATGATATCTTGCTAGTCAGCACACTTTTACTCTCTTAAGTGCCATCGGTTCCTAAGAATTCGAGCCTTGATCCAAGTATGTACATCGTGTAAGACGTGACCTCAACTTTATCCCTTAACTCATATTTGGGACAACGGGAGTACTCCTAAGATGGAAGTTGACAATTTCCTTCGAAAGTATAACCTAAATGTTAGGTTTAATGAAGAATACTCATATCTTACTTCTAGATTTTTAGAATGCGATGAAGTTTTTATTCCATTTTGTCAAGAAACACAAGGGACTGCACACAGACATTAAAACTTTATTTTCATTGAGAGGAATTTAAAGGGGTTTCAATTAACAGCTACCTTCTGGGTAGGTAAACTTTATTTAATTGAACTTTAATATACGAATAACAACATAAAAATTCCATTAGTCTAGATTCCTAATGTCATCGGGCTATTACAGCAAATTTTTAAACACTTGTGAATTTCAGGAAACGTGGAAGGTATGTCTGACCATCGTAGTCCCGCACCAAGCCTTTGATGAGGAGCTGGTCATCGGATTTTCAAAAGCTGTTTTGTTGGGTCACAGAAAGTCCATTGTTAGTGTCAGCCTGGAGACACTGCTAAGTGAGGTATCTACAACTATTTTCTAAAATATCTGAAGGCAAAACTCTACGGGACAGCGGTAGCGAAGAAAGCTAGAGGAGCTCCAAAGTTTACAGAAATCTGCGATGTGATAAAGAACCGATCCGAAACCAATCAGCCCTTTCCAGCTGCCCTCCTGGCTCTGCTTATAAAATTTCACCTGATAAGGATTCGAAATCAGGGCCAGCAGCAGAAATCAAAAGAGGTATGTTTATTAATAAACTTAAAGAATTTTCATTCGTTTGAACCTTTTGGTGTAATTGTGCATTGCAAACACGAAGCGTGCAGCCAAGATGTCGACCTTTAATGTCTTCGGCAAGGTACATGCCTGCGCTGAACTCAGGTTATGTCGTAGCCAGGTATACTGAGGGGTTGATAACCAATGATGTCAGCCAACGCTTCTCATATACCTTTGTTATCTCGGCCCGTGGGGTGACTTTTATAATTATCTAGCGACTTTTACTGATAATTTTTCCTTATGGTCGCAAATCTTTGCTTTCCAAAAGGTGTTCTAATTAAAAATATTTCCCGGATAATTAAGAAGTAATTGAAGATTTGTTATCACTTAAACTTTACAAAAATTTCTTGATTGGTATACCGCTTCTTTGAAGAATTAGGGCGATACTTTTGTATTTCTCTTTGAAATCTGGTATAAGCGAAATTTTATTCGCTTCGATGACATTAAGCGCAAATAAATATACGAATACTTTCACCGTTAAATCAATCCGACTGCAAAAGTCCGTGATTATTTTGTTTGGAGCGCAACTGTCATACCATCCAAGTTAGTCTATATTGAACGGAAAATGGGATTGGTCGCACCAACAAAGACTTCAGAGGGACGTAATCTTGCCAGAAACTGAATAGTTTTTAAACGAGTTGCTGAATTTGCTTTTGGTCAGCGGCCTGTCGATTGTTTTTGAAAAATACGGTTCAGCAAGGCTATAAGGTTTTGAAACCACAACGTTTCTAAATTGACTGGCATGGGAACGCTAGAGAACCCAATATGCAGGTCATTTTCTGCCGCTGGTAACCGCAATCCTGCTCAATATGAATTATACGGCAAAGCATCATTTCACAGATTTTCGTTAGAACATAGAGGTTGTTTATATCGGTTCTTCAGACTGTAGCTAACCTTTTGATGGCTTCAGAGTATCTAAATGACTTAAGGGTTTTCATTAGGGCTTCATACTCCTTCGAATTTCTTCATCTACCATATTTTACCATAAAACTATTGGTAAGGCTGATTTTTATGACTGCCTAAAGAAGACACGGTGAAAGGAACGTCCCGCCTACTTAAAGCATGTGGTCTTGAGATACATTTCAGGAAACGTAAATATTCCTGCGTCCCAACTGTAACACTACCCCTAATATCTATCCAACACTTTGACCTTAATCTTACCGCTAGTTCTACCATAACCCTAGACTCTACAGTTTACACGAATTCAAACCTTAACTTCTAACACAATCCCTACCCTAAACCAAAGTCTGGCCCAACACCAGTCTTAAAACTCACCCTAAACATAACCCCCAACTCTCACCTCATTCTGAAACCTAATTTCTCCGGAATTTGCCGCAAAGCCACACGTATTGTGCGTGGTTCCTATTCCCGTGGCCTTGTAGTGTAATAACGCATGATTTAGTCTAGTACGTCTTATGTTTAGGTGTACATTCCTACACCACTTATTACAGTTCAGTAATGCGTTTTAATACTTTGAAAGTTTTCCTCAGCAGGCATAGATTAACACAGTAGCACTTACTGAACAGGTACCTGCAATTCTATAACCAACCGTCTTTCACTAGTATTCGCCATTAATAAAACTGCAGTTCGATATCCAAATCCACCGTTGAACTGAAGACGATGGGAGGAGGCATGTAGAAACATTAGCACTCGGTCCGCATTGCTGAAGTAGCGATTCAATGGGGGCGCGGATGACTGCGCGTAAACATGCCCTATAGAACGTATAATGAAAGCTGAGGAGATAGTAAGCATGATTCTAACCTTATCAATCACAGGTACATGTGTCGGATCATACGTTTCTTCTTAAGCGCTTTCAGTTGCGTAGCATGCTTGAGTGTGAGCATGACGTGTCTTTCCTTCCAACTAACTGGTAACACTTATTGGAGCGAAAAGGTTGCCTATTTTAATAGGCCATAGGATATAAAACGCGGATACGGAGGATGTACATTTGACTCAAAAAGCACGACACATTCTGCTCCCAACCTTGTGGCCTTTGTGTTAATACGGGGTTCCTAATTGCATCTTGAGCATTTGCATAAGTATGTTAAATCGTGGGGACCTTTGAGTTTAAGTATTTGTTCGACCCCAGCCGTTACAGTGTGCACTGAATTATGGGAAAAGGAGGATCTCAAACTATTCCGAGCTGTACACTTACAGTTCCATCCTTCAAAATGTGCTAGCTATTCTCCGGTAATCAACCCATTGTTTACGCCCTTGGCATAGCGTGCCAGTCTGGAAATGAGAGGCGAAACTCTTCAAAATGCAAAAAGAAAATACGCAAGGCTTGGAACAAATAAGTTAAGACGTAACTGACGGTGCACTTTTTCATGTGGTTTGAATGGTGTAAAAAGTGAAACCTGCTTGTTGGTCCTCCTCTGTATCTGTAGCCGGGTAGGGTCGCGACAGTTCGACAGAAGAAGAAGAACCCTAAGAGACCGACTTCCTCTCAGTCGGAATTGGAGCCACCATCAGCGAAGGAACCGAGCAAGATGCGCAAACACGGTGATGAGCCTGATGTAGACAAGGAAACTGGTTAGTTTTATCTAATAGTGCAACGTTCAGTTAAGAAATTTAATTTTTTCCGATACATTCTAATACAAGCCAAACGGTAACCATACACTTAGAATCATCAATAAGCGCTCAACTTGCGGTTTTTAAAGGCTATTATTATTAATAGCAAGATGAATTTCGTATAGTGACAGGCCTTTTGAAAGCTTAGCACATGTTAGACTTAGAGTGCTATGCTAGGATCTAACTATATATAGCAAGAGTTTAATGCCTTCTTTATGATGAACAAAATGCTGACTGTAGACTGTTTCTATTCAGATGATGAACGAAACAATGGGATAACGCAGTATATACTTTTAACTGGCTTCTACGACCCCAAAATAATCGAAGAGCTAATTTCAGTCGGCGTCAGCGTGCACAATATTATCAAAATTAGTGTCGCCGAAGAAGCGGCACTCAAGCACCTTGTCCAAAGAAAACTCCAGGAGAAAACGTCACTTTTGCCTGTGGGTATGTGCGACCGAACTTTAAATTACTTCATTACGACTCCGGTCTTTTTCCCTTAAATTGATGTTTTGCTACAGTTTTGAGAGAAAAGAGAACTAAATTGCTCAGTCGTCACTAATTTTCTGCTTACTTACTGTCACAGACTTCATGAGGCGATTTTTTAAATGTCTTGCATAAAAAGTATTCACTCTAATCGATACTACACACACCCTTTCTGTCCTACCTAGTTTCATGATCAGTAGGCAACAAAAGACGATGGATGCTGCGCCAGCCCGCCTTCTAAGGAAAATCACAAAAAATTTGCTACTGGCCTCCCTAGTTAGTAAAAACGCAAAAGTTTGACAAATATAAGGGACTGATTTCAATTTGTGTCTCTTGCGTGATAACTTTCCATTGTTTGGCAACGCTTCACCGCTAATTTTGAAACATTAGCTTGAAGTATTCATGATACAGCTTTTCTTTTGCTCCCTAACAGGCCAAGTAGCGGAGGCGGAAAAGGTGGCTGAATGTCAGAGGACGGAAAAACAGAAAGCTCTCAACAGGTTTTGGGAGAAATTGGAGGAGGAGCTGGATTTTCAGTTCGCCTCCGGACGGCTTCGTGATGTCGTGGCGCTGAATTACATCGTCAGACCCCAGATGCTGCCGGATAGTTTGAGTGATGAACAAGCCGTGGTAAAATCCCCCTTCTTTTACTTCAGTTTTAGGATGTTTTTAACTGACTTGACAGTAACAGGTTCAACAGTTTGCGAGGTTATTCTACTTGACTGTACTTACTTGTTAATGTTCAGGATTTCGCAAAAATGTCTCCAACTGAAAGTAATGAAGGGAGCAGGATTTGTCAACTGGGGAAGGGGGTGGGACAGGAATGCTAAGCTCAAAGTTGCATTTTGGGAGTTTAAAAGGGGGCAATACCACGTTACTATTCACCTAGCAGCCCTCTTACCTATCCCTACCGAAACAAAAGAACCTTCTCTTCTATCGAATCTTAGTTTGTTGCAAGTAGTTAGTCTGCTTTCATTCCTAACTTGACTGAGGAAAAGTGTTCTTTAAAAAAAAAATTGATAAAGACACCATTATTCCTTTCACGTCTGAACAGAATGACTGGTATCGAATTATTATGACAGGACAAATACGTGGTACTTATAAACCGTCGTCAACGAATTGTCTAGCCACTTAATAGCCGTGGGGTTTACCTCCTACTTAGTTGAGGTCAATTCCCCGGATCGGGCCTCTGAACTCGCAATCACGCAACCAGATCATCATGTCCGAATTCGCTTAACCCCCCGTGCAATTTAAACTGTCGGCAAGACATTTGACGACAGGAAGCAGGAAATGCGAGGGCGGACTGAATTTAATCTTTCGGTAGTTCTGTGAAAACATAAACGAAGAGTCCATGATAATCCGACGTAAAAACTCAGTCAGACACTTGGCACTTTCCCCCCTTAAGAAACACTTTTCATTCTGCGTACAGGTTGATTGCGGCAAGGTGATCTATGATGAGCTTCTCGCCATAATCTACGACTTGGTTGATTTTCGTCGGCAGTGGCAAAATTACCTCGCACACATCAAATTATTCGCGATTCCTCGATTACCCGAATCCCAGCGTAGACCCAGTAGAGACCCAGCGGATACGAGCAGGCAGTCTAATAGTGGCGCTTCCAAAGCAAAGAATTCAATTGTTGATGATGATTTTGTCGAAATGTCTACTTACAACTGCATCCTCAAAGACTACGCTCTGGAGAACATTCAACCCGAACTTATACTGCACGCTATTTTGGAGCAGGTAAATATAAGGTCTTAAGGTAGACGGGTAAAGGATATATCCTAAAATACGCAAGAAAATAGTCTTTATGTTCTTTTTTTGCTTTTAGGTTGTAGAGTCAGAATCCATCGAAGAAAAAGTGGTGGAGAGGCTTCTATCAATGCCCGAGAAGGCAGTGAAACACATAAGTGTGACTGTTAAGTCACTGCTCTTCGAAGACCAGCAACTTCAGGTTCGTCACTGTAGGTCTTCCACGTGGAAAACGAATTTCTAGTACGCTTACAATCCCAGTCCTTATGTTATTAATACGAGGCCATCTGAACTGTCACTATTTTCCAGGGCAAATTATATTTTTTTAAATCCTTGGTTCTTATAATTAATCCAGGTATTGGCATTAAAAATCCTAATTTGTAATAAATAGGAATAGGGATTTCTTATACTACTGCTGGTCATTCACTTAATTCTAGGGGGATAAAAGTCAAGTGTAGGGTTAGGGCTAAACTTTACCTTAGGTTTAATGTTAGGGTGAAGTTTAGAATTAGGGCGAGGTTTAGAGCTTAGATTATACAGTTCTGCTAGTCCTGCAAGCAAAGTTCCTAAATTTGTAAATGTTTGATTATTTCTTCCATACCAGCGGGAACGCATTTACGAAAACTTATAAATAAATAATGAGCAGCATTAGGCATATTAAGTACTTAAAAGAACTATAAGAAGTACTAAGTGTTTTTTAAGAAAAATAAAATTTTCTCGATAATTCCCAGTTTTTGGAGACATCAAAGTAGCTGTAATTTAGAACAATAAATTTAAATAGTTTGTTAAGTATAAAACTTAAATCAACCACTTTCTTTGTACAAAAAGAACTTGCCTTTAGTCAAAATATTTTGCATATGTGGGAATGATT